GAGGCACACAGGATGAACCATGAAGTATGTGCACTCCGGCACTTGGTTCCGAAAACTCGAGGATGACTTCTTTTCTTAAAAGGATTGGGATTCTTTAGAATTTGCTGACACATATACTTCAGTTTGTAATAGGTCATTTATTAGAATCTCTTATGTACAATAAGTGGAGAGAGAAAGTAGGGCCTTGCTACTATATCACATCTGTTCCCCAGGCAGCTTGGTGCTCTCGTGCAAAATGAGGACTGGGCTTCTATTTTTTTTTGCTTTTTGGGTCACAACAGGCGACGCACAGGGGTTACTCCTGGCTCTGCACTCAGGAGTTACTCCTGGCGGTGCTCAGGGGACCATATGGGATGTTGGGAATCGAACCCGGGTCGGCCGCATGCAAGGCAAACACCCTACCCACTGTGCTATCTCTGGCCTGGGCTTCTTTTACAGCCTCTGTTTCTGCTGTAAGTCTGTCCAGTTGGAAAGCATTTAAAGTTAAGACCAAATGTCTCAAGATGTTTCTGTTTAGCTTTTATCATGATCTACTAAGAAGATACTATCATGATTATGGCTTGTTAAGAATAGCATAGGTAACATTTCATTGTTGCTTGTTTATATGGAAATAAACACTTGTGTTAGTTTCTAAGTTAAGAATTCATTTTGGAGTTTTTAATACTTCACATGGAAAGAATAAAAATAATGGCAAGGGCTAAAATAAAACTGACAGAAAATAAATAGGTTATAGGGGAAAAGTCCCATTAATAGCCAAATTTCCTTCCTTCAAATGCCCCATTAACATAAGGTGATAGAGCTGTGATCCAGATGCCTGAGTTAAGTTTTCCGGATTTATAGGAAGTTATTTATGAACAAAAAAGTTTTTGATTTATGTCACAACTCACCTGGGGTTTCACAGCAGAGTCAGTTAAAATTTCTTATGGGAAAGCTTTGCTCTTTTGTGGCACATTTTTATAGCTTGCAGATTCCTTTTTTATTTAATAATTTGAAAACAGTATTTTTGCACTTGTAGTGTGATGTGTGGATGCAGAATCTCCTGTCCCAAAGTCAAGCTGTCTTCACCGGAGCCCCTTGGAGGGGGACAGGTTGAGTTTCCCTCCCCGCCAAAAGAAAAACTCCGGTGGCCAAAAACCTCCAGAACCCAGCCACAGCCATGCTTAAGATCACTCTCCACATACTTTGACGAGCTTCACACATGAAGGAACCGGCAGAGGAACCCAGGTATGCAGGACCCGGGGCTGAGATATCCAAGCCTGCTTGAATCAGGACTGGGCCTTCTCCACCTAGATCCCCCATTTTCCAGTAACTTGGCAGTCACACCCACAAACTGCCCCCAGTGCCATGTAATTCCATCAATGGCCAAGATCCAGAGACTATAAAACAAAGTGAATGCGGCTGCACGACCTTTGATAGTCTAGCCAACTGATGTACCTAAAGCAGCACACGTGTGTTTGGTTTTAACATACTTGCCTGTATTCTCATATACATTCTCTGCCCCTCTTGGAGAGCCTGGCAAGCTACCAAGAGTATCCTGCCAGCATGGCAGAGACTGCCAAGCTCCCCGTGGCATGTTCGATATGCCAAAAACAGTAACAATAACGGGTCTCATTCCCCTGACCCCGAAAGAGCCTCCAATACGGCACCATTGGGAAGGATGAGTAAGGAGAAGCTGCTAAAATCTCAGGGCTGGGATGAATGGAGACGTTACTGGCTCCCGCTCAAGCAAATCCATGAACAATGGGATGACAGTGATACAGTGATACAGTGTGATGTGTGATGGCATCACTGTAACCAAAGTACGTGCATTTATTGTTTCCTCTGATACTGTGTATTTAAAATGTCCAAATGCAAACTTTTGTGGCTTTCTTTGGAGGACTTGGCAACACACATGCCCCCTATGATCCACCTGCCTGAGGTGTGATCCCTGATCAGGAAGAGATTTCTCCTTGTGAAGTCAGGGTTAAAAACTGCAGTGTTCTCCCTTATATCCAGAGGCAGACAATTCTAATAGAAAAATTGTCACTGTCACTGTCCTCCCGTTGTTCATCGGTTTGCTCGAGCAGGCGCAGTAACGTCTCCATTGTGAGACTTGTTACTGTGTTTGGCACATCGAACACGTCACGGGGAGCTTGCCAGGCTTTGCCGTGTGGGTGAGATACTCTCAGTAGCTTTCCAGGCTCTCTGAGAAGGGCTGAGGAATTGAACCCGGGTCGGTTGGGTTGGCCACATGTAAGGCAAATGCCCTACTGCTGGCTAGTCCGAAAGTAGTGAGTGGTCATATGGTCAACCTAAAGTCACTGTCACTGTCACTGTCCTCCTGTTGTTCATCGATTTGCTCGAGTAGGTCCAGTAACGTCTCCATCGTGAGACTTGCTGTTTGGCATATCAAATACGTCATGGGTAGCTTGCCAGGCTTTGCCATGCAGGCGAGATACTCTCGGTAGCTTGCCAGGCTCTCCGAGAGGGGCAGAGGAATTGAACTCGGGTCGGCCATGTTGGCTGTGTACCAGGCAAACGCTTTACCCGCTGTGCTATCGCTTCAGCCCAACCTAAAGTCAACCTGCAGCAAACTATAGAAAAATTATGTGACAGTAAATCTATCTTAGAGTATGTATGTTTTATGTGAAACTGTACAGCAAATAAAGTGGAAATTATGAGTACTGTCTTGACAATTTTTTTCAGCTACATTTGCACAAATCAAGAGCAGCTTCATTTTCTTTAAGTTATTCTCACTTAAGTATAAGGCAAAGAGCATTAATATTTCCTACACTTGGGCCAGATAGTTCAGGGGTTAAGGCATATGCCTTGAATGTGATCAACCCTAGTTTTGTCCCTGGCACCAGATGGTTCCCGGAGCAGCAACTGCATCTTTGGGAATTCGCACTGAACTGCCAACTCAACTGACAAAGAATTGCTGGGAGGGGCTGCCAGACCTCCTGAGCACAGCTTGGGAGCACCCCAGGCCCAATTATTAACACACACACACACACACACGAATGCACACTTATACATATATGTGCATTTATATGTATGCACATGCATATTTATATTCTCAACTCTTTAGACTATCCACCCAAACATTAGTTTAACTATGTTAAAAATCTCAATCACTTAGGACCTAGGGAATAGATATATGGTTCAATGACTAAAAGTACTTAGCACTTCACTTCCAAGTGTAAGGAAATGAGTTTGATCACTCAGGGTCCTAGCAGGTCTATTACCAAGCTGCAATAATGTGTGCAGGTCCCCAGCACACAGTCTGGTGTTTGTGAACTGCAGCTGGTGTGACACCCCCAGATGTGGGGAGTTAATTACTTGATGAAATTCAGTGAACTTAATAGTTTTGCAAGCTAAGGGTTTCTGAAAGAAGTCCTGGTTGATTTTATCAGGCTTGCATGATGACTGTAAGCCACACATTTTCATTCTTTCATGCAGCCCACAGTGTCTAAGCAAGAACACATATATTAATTTCATGTCTTACTTGAAAGTTGAGGGAAATAGGAACCGTTAGAGGTGGAGAGGTAAGAAATCCTGAAGCCACTCAGTTGTTGGCAGTGCAAGTGTTTCTTTAACTTGCACAGATGTGTACAGAGCTGTTAAATGCTTCTGAGGAGGGCTGCCCATAATAGCCACTCGACTCAGGTCCTGGGAGATTGTGTGGCAGTCATACAGTTTGGTTTGTCTTATCAGAACGACACTGAGTTGTTCTGATAAGATCATATTAAAAATGAATGGCAACTTTATTATTTTATTTATTTTGCTTTTTGGGTCACACCCGGTGATGCACAGGGGTTACTCCTGGCTCTGCACTCAGGAATCACCTCGGGCGGTGCTCAGGGGACCATATAGGATGCTGGGAATCAAACCCGGATCAGCCACGTGCAAGGTGGAAGCCCTTGCTTGCTTGCTGTGCTATTGCTCCAGCCCAAAAAATGAATGGCAACTTAAACAGACCAACTTAATTTGAGAAGTGGTTGCTCACTCAGCAGTAAAGACTTACTTCAACTTGAGTTTATCATTCAAATGAAAGTGGCTTCCCATATTTGTTTCCTAAGGTAAAGAAACCATCATGATGGTTTTCCCAGTTTTGGTAAAGAGTTCCAAATATTAGAAAAGGTAAGTAAATTTGCTCGAGCGGGCCCAGTAACGTCTCCATTGGAGACTTTGTTGTTTCTGTGTCTGGCATATCGAATACTCTCGGTAGCTTGCCGGGCTCTCCGAGAGGGGCGGAGGAGTCGAACTCGGGTCGGCCATGTTGGCCGCTTGTAAGGTGAACGCCCTACCGCTGTGCTACCGCTCCAGCCCCAGTAAATGGTTTCTGGGGCTTGGCTAGTGATTTGTTCAGTGGTTTGGAGGCTCTTTGAGCTATCATTGTAATCTATTTGGGTCATATTTGCCCATTTCTACATGTAAACAGTGTATCCTCTCCTGCTCCCAGTTATTATTTACTTCAAATAAAATGAATACCATCAAGTTAAGGAGATAAGCACACATATGGTTTACCTTCCCAACCCCCAGCTTGACAAAGTATGAAACTTAACATTAAATTTAACAGATTGGAATTTATAATTTATATTCAAATTTGTTATATTCGGTCATGGTCACAGTCCTCCCGTTGTTCATCGATTTGCTCGAGCGGGCCCAGTAACGTCGTGAGACTTGTTGTTATTGTGTTTGGCATATAGAATACGTCACGGGTAGCTTGCCAGGCTTTCTGGTGCAGGCGAGATACTCTCAGTAGCTTGCCGGGTTCTCCGAGAGGAACGGGGGAATTGAACTTGGGTCGGCCATGTTGGCTGTGTGCAAGGCAAACGCCCTACCAACTGTGCAATCTCTCCAGTCCTTGTTATATTCAAATTTAAAATTTGCAGAGCCTGGCAAGCTACCCATGATGTACTAAAGATGCCAACAACAGTAGTAAAAATGGGTCTCATTTCCCTAACCCTAAAGGAGTCTCCAGCTGAGTTGGGAAGAATGAGAGAGCTCCTACTAAGCAGATGGCGCGCAAGTCAACAGACGTGAAGGCACCCTGCAAGCAAGTGGCCACCAAAGTGGCCCACAAGAGTGTGCTGGCCATGGGCAGCGTGAAGAAACCGTACCACTATCAGCCGGCACCTTGGCGCTGCATGAGATCCACTGCTACCACAAGTCCACCGAGTTGCTTATCAGCAAGCTATCTTTACAGCGGCTGGTGTGCGAGATCACTCAGGACTTCAAGACCTACCTGTGCTCCCAGAGCTCGGCCGTCATGGCGCTGCAAGGAAGCGTGCAAGGCCTACCTGGTGGGGCTTTTTGAGGATACCAACTTTTGCACCATCCACTCAAAGTGCGTCAGCATTATGCGCAAGGACATCCAGCTGCACCAAGAGAGGGCATAAAGTTTACGATTCCCGGCACCCGTTTTTGTTTTTCTGGGCCACATCTAAAATCTCAGGGCTGGGACAAATGGAGACACTACTGGCGCTCGTTCGAGCAAGTTGATGATTAATGGGATGACAGTGCTACAGTGCTACTCAAATTTGTTGGTTTGATTTAACACTGAAAATCCATTGTTAAAATAGGAGCGATAGCACAGCGGTAGGGCGTTCGCCTTGCACGCAGCCAACATGGCCGACCCAAGTTCGATTCCTCTGCCCCTCTCGGAGAGCCCGGCAAGCTGCTGAGAGTATCTCGCCCACACGGCAGAGCCTGGCAAGCCACTGTGATGTATTGGATATGCCAAACACAGTAACAACAAAATCTCCAATGGAGACGTTACTGGGCCCGCTCGAGCAAAATAACAGGACCTCAACTTTTAAAAAATGCTATGTGGATGGCTCTGAAGACTCATGCTAAGTGAAGTTAAGAGAAACAGAATTATCTCTGGTGAGACAAAAAGAAAACAAAGTAGCAGTATAACAAGTGCTCAAACGCAACAGAAACACAACTGGTTTTCAGAGGGAAGCTTGGTGGGAGGGATAAAGGTAAGGGGTCTAGGATGGGAGATACTGGGATGAGAGAGGGAAGTGGGCACTCACACGGAGGGTATGATACTGGAATATTATGCATGGACCCTATTATTCACAGCGTAGTAAATCACAGTGCCTAAAATAAAAATTTAAAAATAGTAATGTTGGGGCTGGAGTGATAGTACAGTGGGTAGGGCGTTTGCCTTGCACGCGGCCAACCCGGGTTCGATTCCAGCATCCCATATGGTCCCCTGAGCACCGCCAGGAGTAACCCCTGTGCATTGCCAGGTGTGACCCAAAAGGCAAAAAAAAAAAAAAAAAAAAAAAAAATGTTTTTCATCCAGCACAATGCCCGTATCTTTACAAGTACAGAACAAAAATTTTGATACAACTAACTGCATCAGAGCTTCAGCATGCTTCACTATTTCCCACAGGTGACTGGAAGACATTTAACCTCTCCAGATGGTCTTTTTTTGTTTTTTTGGGGCTGCATCTGCAGTGCTCAGCGCTTATTCCTGGCTTTGCAGTGAGGGATCACTTCTGGCAGTGCTCAAGGGACTATATGGGGTTCTGGGGAATCAAATTAGAATTGGCTGTATGCAAAGCAAGCACCCTACTACTCTACTTTCTCCCTGGTCCCTCCAGTGACCTTTCTTGTTGGCTGGAAAAGGAAGTGCCATGAACGAGAGCACTTCCCTGCTCATATCCTGAACTGACATATGCAGGATAGTCTTGCTTTCTCTAGTGAGGAAATATCTGGTCCAAGAAATAGACCACACACTTCTCATGGGCAGCCTTACCCCCAGGAGACAGTCATTATCCAACATATTCATTCCAAATATATTGGAGAAGTGGGAAAGAAGATTTAACATTACATGAAACCAGTATATTCACCTGCTACACAGCTTATTTCTGCTAAGCAGAAGTTAATGTTACTCATTACTAGGTCTTTCAATTAGAATGTGCAAGTCAAATAGTTCATAGGTTAATACTAATCTATTGTAGACCCTAACTTTTAAGTTCCACTCTCTGAAAATTAAGGAAATGTATGTTTCCATTAGAAGTCTTGCTCGAGCGAGCCCTCCCGTTGATCGTCGATTTGCTCGAGCGGGCCCAGTAACGTCTCCATTGGAGACTTTGTTGTTACTGTGTCTGGCAAATCGAATACTCTCGGTAGCTTGCCGGGCTCTCCGAGAGGGGCGGAGGAATCGAACTCGGGTCGGCCATGTTGGCTGCTTGTAAGGCGAACGCCCTACCCGCTGTGCTATCGCTCCAGCCCTTACTCCTTTACTCCAAGCTAAATTCTAAAAATGGAAATACTTAGAAAACTATTTTTACAAAGTAAACATTTATTAATACATTAGCATTTTTTGGTAGAATTTCTAAAGACAAAGCCTCCAGTAGGTAACAAAATAATCTATTATTTAAATTACTTCTCTCATGAAGCTGACTTTATTCTATGACACAAACAGTCCATCAGCTAGGCAGGTCCATTTTTTTTTAGCAAGAATAAAAAGATGGTGTGACAATAACTATTTTTTGTCCTGTAAACACATCTAGGCTAAGCTGTCTTAATCTAATAACTGAAATAACTCAGTACTGTTATCTTCAAGAGCAGGTGTGAAACATGTTATCAGCACCTAAAACACCTTTCAATAGTGGCTTCAGTAGTTACTGTAACATGTTACAAATTAACATGTACGCAAAACAAAGCAAGCACTTAGGAAGAACCTCTTCCCTCAATACTTCTGGCATAGTGCAGCAATGCTGTCCCCTAATACTTACAGAAAAAGTTACTTTCTCCTACAAAAATGTACTTTCACATCACATTTAATAAATTAAGATATGGGGAGAAAGCAACTATTGAACAAAACAACTCAATATTCTTAATGTTTAGGGCTACATGTCAGTCAAAAGCACTTCATTAAGCATACAGCAATACCCAAGCCTCTGGAATCAAGGATCAGGTGTAATAAATACAGCAGAATTACTTTGTCATTACTTATTCCTTTGAACAATAATCAGTAATTAAGTCCAGCGTGAAGTAGCCAAAGGAGCATTTAAGACAAAAAGTATTAGTTCTTCACAGTCACTCTTAAAGTACAATCCTTTCTGTTTTACTCTCACATGCTCCCAAGGAAACAAGTATGTGGCAAAAACTTGCCTGTTTCAAGCTCCTGATGTGGAAATGAGGTCTGGGTTTCTGTAAATTACAGAAATTAAGTCATAAAGTTAGCAAAATAAGTGTTCCATGTTCTAAGATTTGCCAGTCATCTCAGTGCCACCTTGTGAACAAAATGGGAATTCTGTTCACACAAAACTGTTTTAATGAAAGTGTGCTAAAGGCTTTTGATTTGTATTTCACACCTCTTTGCAAAATAAATACCACAGATTGCTGCAATAGTCTTTGGTAGGACAGCTTTTAGCTAATCCGATTTTCAGAAATGTAGAAAGTCACATTTAATTTCAGAAGTTACGGCAAAAGTCCTAGCTGTATGAGTAGAGATTAGAATAAGCTGTTTACAAGGGTTCAATTTATTACTCTTTATAGTGCCCACAAACTAGGGAAAGAGGGATGGGAGAATGAAGGCAATAATTTGTTTAAGGGTCCCTGAAGCAAATTCAATTTGCTTCATTTTGACAAGGAGACAGTGGCTCCAATTTAATTCTAGCTTGTAGAAAAATACAAGTATCAGAAATAAACCCACATGGAAGTCTAAGGCAGGGTGAGAGGTCAGGAAGACCAGCAGTCTCATGAGCCAGGATCACTGTTCTATTCTCTATAGTTAGGATGAACAGTTGTCCAGACTTCAAGATCAACATCAAAATAAGCATTAGTGTGATTAATGCACAAAACCTACACCAGGAACAAGTGATGTTACTGCTTTTTCTGTTAATACAGTATAGCTGAATCATGCAAAGCAGGTTTTTTTTTTTTTTTAAAATAAGTGTCACCCCACCCCCACCCCAGTGCTGATGGGGACAAGGCAGAAGCCATTTCTGGTAACTCTCGGTTTAGCAGTGCTAACCTGATGGGGCCCACCCTTAGCAGTGCTCAAGACACCACTGTCAGTGAGCACACGTGAGCCTCACCGATACTCTGCTGCTTGAGATATTTCCCAGGCCCAGCCCAAGATTTTTAAGGGAAAGCTTTAAAAATGCTTTGATAAAGATGTGCGTGCAAGTTAGCACGAATCCAGGAAAATATACAGACACTATTCTTAAACACTTCTTTGCCCCCCCAGACAGTTTTTTTCTTAGTAACTCCCTGACATTTTCTTGCTATCCTAGACAAAGAAGTAAAATTGACCTGCTTGGCAGGTAATTTCGAGCTTATTCCATGTTGTCCAAAGAATGAAGTTGTGTGGGCACCGCCTCTGCCTGAGGAGTCAGCTCAGTAAGCTCACTGATGCTAGTGGTCAGCAGAGTGTCCTGGGGATTGTCTGATTTGCAGGCAGCATCTTCAGATCTGTTTTCATCTATGGTGGGTACAGTGTCCTGAACTGGGGCCAAGTTGTGAAAATGGCCATTTTCTGCAAAAGACAGCAATTTATCTGAAAGTTTGGATGAGACATATTCTTCATCAGGCTGTTCAGTCTTCTGCCCTTCATCATTCTTGGGTGAGCCATCCACAATAACAAGGAAAGATTTCCATGGAGTATTCTTATCATGTATCTACAAATGAGACATAAAACATAGGTCACTGTCTCTCTGAATATGAAACTAGAAATCCCCCAGTTCAAGTTTAGTAACAAGTATATCTTTTAAAACCATAGCATCAATTCAAGTTAAATTTAGTTTCTACTGGAGGGAAAACACACTTTCACTAGTCATCAAATACTATTCTAAGGCCATGGACAGTATTAGAGAGTACTGAGGACTGGCCTTCCTGGGTCACTGGTTTTTCACACTGAGTATATGAGTATGGGTAGAAGACCCACCTTATGAAATGATAAGATTCAAGGGCTGTGCATGCCAAGGGACCAACAGTCTACCATTCTTAAGCAACCCCTACACTGTTACTTACTGAGGTGTGTCTCCGAAGAGTGGACTTGTCAGTAAAAGTCCGCCCACATGCATTACACATGAATGGCTTCTCCCCAGTGTGGATCCGATGGTGGCGCTGCAGTGCATTCAGCTGGGTAAACTGCTTACCACACTGGTCACAGCAATAGGGACGCTCCCCTGAGAAATGAAAAGAAGAAAACTGGTTGCCTATGGCTTTTAATTTTGAACACTCTGGAATAATGCTATTTGTAAACCACCAGAAAACATCAGCACTTCACCATAAAGATCAACTGATGGAGTGATAGCACAGCGGGTAGGGCGCTTGCCTTGCATGGGGCCAATCTGGGTTGGATTCCCAGCATATCATATGGTCCCCCGAGCACTGCCAGGAGTAATACCTGAGTGCATGAACCAGAAGTAACCCCTCTGCATTGCTGGGTATGACCCAAAAAGCAAGGAAAAAAAAAAAAAGATCAACTAATGGCAAAAATCCCATTATCCCTACAAACCCATGCCTGCAGCTGCTACACAAAGAGGTATCTTACCTGTTTTCTGGTGATGGAACAGAAAACTCCAAGTCCCACAATAACTGAATGTGTATGCATAAAAATGTGTAAGTTATGTCTTATGTGAAAATGTTAAACTGTTCACATATCCATATTCAAACATTCAAACCATGCCAGTTTCTCATAACCAGAAACTTCCATTTTAAATGTAGGTCTGATATACAAAGAAAAAGCTAAATTCAAGTAATTTTTTAGTAAATTTAAAACTTTAGCATATTTCTCTTGCCACAGTGAAATTTCCCCCTTTCTAGTGACATTCCAACCACACCTGTGTGAACTTTAATATGCTGGTAAAGTGAATTTCGTTGGGCAAAAGTCCTGAAACAAACTTCACATTTAAAGGGTTTCGATCCAGTATGAATTCTGTTATGATGTTTTAAATATTCCTTAGAAGCAAAACTCTTGCCACATGTTTCGCACATAAAAGGTCTTTCACCTACATGAAAAAACATGAAATAAAAAGACAGAAATGACGCAGGCATTAGAATCACACAAATTCAGTTCACATTTTTAAAACACATACACTAAAAAATACTTTCATAGGCAAAGAACTACATTTCCAGTAAAACTATGAATAAAAGAACCATCATTCCATGCTTACTCCATGCTCAAAGTTGGTATAAAATACTCTTTGATATTTCAAGGAATTTCAAAAGATCAGTATTACAAGGAGATTCATTCAGTCAACTCAGATTTTGAAACTTTTGTCATTCAAAAAGAAGTATTTTTACAGTTTAGAAAATTTAGAATTTGTCAATGAAACATTTCTATGAAAACTGATCAGAATGGAAGTCTTAAGAGGGAGTATGGGTATAATTTATGAATAGCAATCCGAATTAATGTGGGATGGGTTACAATACATATGTAATTTGAGTCCTTTAATCCCAAAATCAGATTCCTCTGATTATTAATTGTGCCTCTTATTTCACTAACATCAAAATAAATGTACTAGCTTTAATAAGACTGGAATTTCTCTCACCACTAAACTAATCTTTCAGTGTAACTGAACTCATTCTCATCCCGAACTCCCATTCAACACCAATTCTGCTCATTTTAGGTTTCTGGGTCACAGCCAGCTGTGCTCAGGGCTTCTTCTGTGATCAGGGATCACTCCTGTTAATATGTGATGCCAGGGACAGACCCAATGTTGGCCACAAACAAAGCAAGTGACTTACCCTCTATGTCATTTCTCCAGCCACAATTCTACTCACTTTACAGTCTAATAACTAACATCACTAAATTCTTCATCTCTCTATTGCTTGCACTTTAACTACAGGTTTGTGTGACTGCTTAGAAATAACTTTTAAAATGCAAGCAAAAACTTGGCTAAAACTACAGTATACAATACATTCTGTATACTTCTGTATTATATACAGTAGGGTTCTGAACCTAGGATTGCTATGTTGAATCAGAATAAAGAGAACTTAAAATTTTCTTTCTTGGGGTGGAGCAATAGTACAGCAGGCAGAGCTATTGCCTTGCACATGGTCGACCAAGGTTCCATCCTCAGCATTCCATATGGTTCCCCCAGCACCACCAGGAGTAATTCCTGGTGCAGAGCCAGGAGTAATTCCTGAGCTTCACTGGATATGATTCCCCCCACCTCCCCCCAAAAATATTCTCCCTCAGATAATGAAATATAAAAAATGCTGGTAAGTAAAAATTATAGAGCCAGAGAAATAGTACAATGGGTAGGGTGTTTGCCTTACACATAGTGGACATAAGACCAATCCCCCACACCACATACAGTCTCCCAAGCACCATCAGGAGTGAACCCTGAAAGGAAAGCCAAGGAGTAAGCCCTTAGCACAGCCTGGTGTGGCTCAAAAATCAAACCAACAAAAAATCTTACCACATTAGTCCTTATAAACAACTTTCTTCTCATCTTTTATGTGCAGGCTTTCAGTATAGCTGAGATTTACTGAAAGCTTAATTGCGCATCTTTCAAGCTGACATCCATGTAGTTTTCATACTGTTCAGGAGTCTACTCAGAATGACTAAGTTAGGTCTTGACCCCCGAGGGTGTGGATTTACCATTTTACTGTACCACATCCTAATTGTTTCTACTGCTTCATCTTTAAAAAAGAGCAGCGAGAGGGATAAAAAATAGCATATACTTTTTCTCACATTCTGAACAATTTCTTCAGTTAACATACTCAAGACAGAATATGCGGCCAAAACAGTAGAAACTACTTATACCCCCTAAAACATAAGACTCAAATACCAGTTCTTACTGCCATATGTGCAATAGGCCATCACCACGAACATACCAGCACTAGGCACTATCAACTTCTAAATGTTAATGCCGACTTTTAAATAAGTTTCTTGCTATCAGCAGGAAAGACATTCATTCAATCACAACAGTATAAGTATTTACCTGTGTGGCACCTTTTATGATATATCAGCATGTGGTTCTGAGTGAATCTTGCACCACATTCATCACAGACAAAAGGTTTTTCCCCTGTATGAATTCTGAAAGTACAACATTCAGATGATAACTTAGGATGTATTTAAAACCTCACTTTGCAATACAATTTCCACTCCAGCCTGCAAAGATAGTGAGATCTAATGAGAATAAGTTTAGTGAAAGGTAAAGAGGCCTGTCACCTCCACCCCCAGGCCCACTTCTACGTGGTGCCAACAGTCTACCAGTGTTCCAAAAGAGTCCGGAAGTTTATCCACATCTGCCTTATGATAGATGCTGTAGTCTTTGCGAGTAGATACCACAATCTTTGCTTGTTTTTCAGACACTAAACAGTTATACATTATTTGTAAAATTTTCTTACTCCAAATAATCAAACTTTATGAACTTCACTGACATAACACCACATTCAAAATTGCACTAAAATTTCTTAACACAATATAACCTATCCACTCTTGATATGTTGAAGAAACTTAATTTCTATGAAGTATACAATAATATTTGAATTTCACAACCAGTGAACTATAAATTTCACAACTAGTGTGAAATTTAAGTGGCACTTAGACACCGTTTTTCCTAAGAATCTCCTACAGTTTTTTAACTTAGTTTAATATAAAAGGTTTTTTATTTTTTAAAAAAAAAGAATGAATACCACAATACTACCCCAGAGATTGGTCCAGGTTTGAGCAGCTGAAGAAAACTGCTTCTATTTTTGGTTTTTGAGCAACATCCAGCTGAGCTTAAGGGCTAACTCCTGGTTCTGAACTCAGTAATTACTCCTAGTGGGGCTCGAGGGACCATATGGGCTTCCAGGGATCGAACCTGGGTTGGTCGTGTGCAAGACAAGTGCCTTACCCACTGTAACACTGCTCTGGCCCTTGAAGGATGCTTATTTTTAAACAGAACATCATCCCACCCACAAATAGTTGAGAAAAGAAAAAAAAATGTGCATACTAATTGTACAGTGCATACTAATCACAGGGCACACTTCCAAGCCTGAACATCTGGTAAGATCAGAGAAGTGTCCTAAAGTCCTAAATGCACAGTGTGGTACAAGGGATAATCAAGTTAAGAGTTGGCTGTGCCATCTTTTTTTGTTGTTGTTGGTTTTTAGGCCACACCCAGCAGTGCTAAGGGCTTACTCCTGGTTCTGTGCTCAGGGATCACTCCTCCTGGACTGGGGAGGGGGGCTTTATGTGGTGTTGGGGATTGAACCAGGGTTCAAACAGGACCGACTGCATGCAAGGCAAATGCCCCACCTATACTATCTTAACCCCTGCACTACCTCTCCAGCCCTTACAGTAGTCTTTGATGGAAAAATGTCACCCAATGGGTCTTAGATGCAAATTTTAAATGAGTCAGGGAAAGAGAAGTAAAATTACTACATTCTCATAGGATATAGTAGGGACTGTAAGCACCAGAGGTTATTCTGGAGGGTAAGAACCTTTTCTTGCAGCACATCCAAAACTCGTGATGTCTGGCCATCCAAACAGCCTCCTGCCACAGCTGAGGTGGGAAGGTCTGAGAAGGCCTGAGGCCTGGAAGAAGACTGCAGGTACTAGAAAGGTAAACAATCTTTCACGTTGTCTTGACCTAGCAAGACTTCAAAAATATTTTCAAACACTCTACCCAACTTTTGGAGAGACACTTTCACTGAAAAGTCTGGATATTGGCCCAAATACTCTAACAACCTCCAAATTTCTCTAGGAACTAAACAAGTTATACGATCTGGGGAAAAAAACTCTCATCAGAGCTTCTGATCTGAGTCTCACCACACTGCACTGCTTGGTGGCCACCACTGCATGTACCTCATGTGGGTCTTGAGCGCTGAAGGCTGTGAAAACTTGGCTTCACATTCAGTGCAGCCATAGGGCTTGTGACCCGTGTGTGTCCGCTCATGAAGTCGTAGAGCTGTCTTGGAGCTCAAGCCCTTGCCACACTGCTGGCACTGGTGCCGCTCGCCTCCACCCTCATGGACCTGCACCACATGCCGCTTGACATCCTTCTTCCTTTTGAACTTCTTCCCACAGAGATCACATGGGAAGTGGCGCTCGCTGCTATGCACATGGCGCTGGTGGCTCTTCAGGTTGCAGCGGTTGGCAAAGGTCTGGCTGCAGGTATCGCAGCGGTGAACGACTTCAGTGGCCACTCCATGGTGCTGCCGGATGTGTTTCAGAAAGCTCTTCTCATACAAAAACGCTTTGTTGCACATAGTGCATTTGAAGTTGCTCTTCCTCTTCTCTGTTTCCTCGTCCTCCTCCTCTTCTTCCTCTACCCCCTGACCCACCTTCTGTAGCACTTCCTCCACTTGCACTCCACTACTGCAGTCCTCATTTTTAGTACCTGGCTCCATTTCTTTTATTACTACAATATCTGGGTTGGGATCTTGAGGGTCTGTATAATCCCCTATGTCATCCTCTCCACTTTTCTGCTGCTCTCGGAGTCGTCTTGTGTATTTCTTTTTAGGAATTTCCACAAATACCTTTCTTCCGGCCAGTCTCCCACTAGCTCTCCTGATTTTTGGGTAAGGAGGCTTAATGACATCTTTTTTCTTGTCTGATTTCTCCTTGAACTTTCTCAAGGGCATGTCTGGCAACAATCCATTGCTGATTCTCTCCTCTGGAGGCTCTGCGGAATCCATCAGGCCATTGGTGAGAGGAGTGCTCTCAGCTGCACTGATCAGAGCCTGAGGCTGGTCAGGAGCAGTAGTGACTTCAGTGCCACCACTCCCTTCTGCCTCCTGGGTGTCCGAGAAATTCTGCAACTCCAAAAGTACTGATTCCAACATCTGTTTCTTTAACTGAAAACAAGTTTCCGATAAGTCCAAACATTTCAGTTTTTCAGCCATTTCCAGCATTCGCTGCACCCGGTCTTCTTCCACCTGTACTTTTGCAGTGTAAACAAACTCAAGAAATGAAGCAAAATCAACAACCTGCACTTCATTTAAGTAGACATTAGTCCTACTGCCATCCATACTCTTCTCATTAAGGAACATTTCTTTAAAAAATTTGCTGGTAGCTGCCAGCACCACCTTATGGGCCATGAATTCTTCACGGACACCCTGGTACTCCACACTGACTGTCACATCACACAAGTGGCCAAGAAGGCGTAGCTGATGCATTTCATGCAGAAGGTTATATGGTGAGGATTTGGATTCCAGGAGAACTGCACCACTTTCCATGTTTCTTCCTTAAAACAAAACCAAACAAGATTGGAAAAAAAAAAAAACCCAAGAATAATTCAGGTATGAGCAACTTAAATATAAACCCATAGCCTAAGTCTAATTGTTCTCATGTAAAATTTTAAACTTTGCTCCATATTATCTTTTTTAAGTCTTAATGTACCTTCAGAAGGTAATGTTTGCACAAGAAACTAGAATATTAAGCAAGATTTCCCTTGACGCTAAACAATCAAAATTGTGATTAATGAAATACACTGAAGTAGGTTTTGCTTATCAAGGTAATTTTACAAACTGCTTATACAGTAAAGGCCCTAAGTAAAGTAAAGGCCCTCCCGTTGATCATCGATTTGCTCGAGCGGGCCCAGTAACGTCTCCATTGGAGACTTTGTTGTTACTGTGTCTGGCATATCGAATACTCTCGGTAGCTTGCTGGGCTCTCCGAGAGGGGCAGAGGATTCGAACTCGGGTCGGCCATGTTGGCTGCGTGCAAGGCAAACGCCCTACCCGCTGTGCTATCGCTCCAGCCCCCAAAATTATAATATAGGGTAACAATATCCAGTCGACTGATTAAGAAGCACCGTTGTTCATCGATTTGCAATTTGCTCTGCTCCAGGGGACCCAGGAGGTTACCCCTGCCCTGCTCCCGCTTCAGCTCCCTGCATTGTGAGACTTGTTGTTACTGTTTTTGGCATATTGAATACACCACCGGGAGCTTGCCAGGCTCTGTAGCTGATTAAGAATCCAATTAAAAAATACTGTGACACAATCATCACTGTTTGGGAGCAAACCTTAGAGAATCTTATCTGTCTTGAAAAAAATCGTACTTTTCCCAAGAATGTTCACTTTGCATGAGAAAAAACGTCATGGCAATCACTTTTTTTTGTTTTTACTTTTATCAGTCGTGTTACCTAGAACGAATCAGAAACTTTTCTGAATTGTATTTGCATTTCTGTAGAAGGTTTACAGGCTTTCAAGAGTGAAAGCTTGTCAGGTTGGCTGGTCATTGTTGCCCCCTCCCTGTTCCCCCAGGGTCCCGGGCTGGCTGAGAAGCGCGCCCCCACCCCCCTCCCCGGACTTATTCCCGCTCGGTGCCCCCGACCCCGCCTCCCTCTCAGAGTCCACTGCGGTTTGTGACTCGCTCCCCCGACGGCCCCCGAGGGCCGGGGCCCGTCTGTGCGCGCCTCCTCCTCCGCCCGCCACGCGGCCGCCGCTGCTCCCGGGGCCCTCTCGAGCACCGCGCCCCGCGGGAGGACCGCCCCGGGTCCGAGCCCCCCCGCCCCAGCGCCCGGCGCCTCAGGGCCAACGGGAGATGCCGAGGCCCGCGCGGCGGCGGCGGCCGCGGGCGACGGGGCTGCAGACGGCTCCTGCCCCCGCCTCCCCCGCTCGCGCCCCCCACGCCACCGGGCCCGAGGGCAGCGCCGGGCCCCGCGGACAGCGCAGCTGTCTCCGCGCCGGGCGCTCGGGCCTGGTGACAGCCGCCCGCCCCGCCGCCCCCGGCCGGGCCCCGCGCCGCCCGCCGCCGCTCTCGGGCCCTCCTCGGCCTCACGGCGCCCCCCGGCAGGCCGCTCCTTCGACCTGAGGCGGCGGCCAGGGCTGCCGGGTGCGGGGAGCCACGGACTCACCTTCCGGCGGGGCCGCCGCGCCGGCGCTCGTCAGCGGAGCCACCCGAGGGCTCGTCGGGGCGGCGGGGCGGGATCCGCGGTGGCGCGGGCGCCGCTGATTGGCCTCCGCGGGCTCCGCCCCGCCCCGTCTGGCCCCGCCCCCGAGGCCGCGCGCCCACGTCGGGCTGCGGAGCGCGTCCGGGCCGTTTCCTCATCCGCCGTATGCCAAGCGGCGCTGGAGGCTGCCACAGCCGAGCGCGGAGCCCGTCGCGAACCAGCGTGTGCGCCTGCGCAGCGGCGAGGGCGGGCCCGAGCCAGCCTCGGTTACGTGATTGGCGGGCCGCGCGGCCAACTTCCGGGCTTTCGCAGTTTTCCGGGGCGGCGCTAGCGCCCCGCGCCTCGGAACCGGCCCGGGGACGGGGCGGTTACTGGCTCGACTTCGTCCTCGGCACGCCCCGGCTCGGGTACCGGCGGCGGCGTCTGGTCCCGCGAGCATGCCAGGAGCGCCCCCGGGTCTAAGCCGGGATAGGTGCTGAGCGCCGCCGCGCACGGCTGCAGAGGAGCGGGCGCGGCCCGGGAGGGGGCTCCGCGCCTGGAGGGCCGTCCTGCGGGGCGGGCGCTGTAGCGTCCCCGCCCGACGCCCGAGCCGGGCTCAGCTGGCCGCAGGGTCTGCCCGCGGGCGCGACACCCTCGGTTCCGTCTTCCGGCACGTCGGGCGGCAGACGCGCGAGTGGCGCGGCCCAAGGGGGAGCCCGGGCCTGGGCCCCGCCGCCGCGAGCGCACCTCCGGACTCGGGGCGGCCCCCGCAACAACCTAAAAATTGTTCCCAAGGCTCAATTTAAGTCAGACTCTCTGTTCTCAGGTTCGACTTCGGCTTCAATCTGTAAAGAGTCAACAAATGACAAGCACACGTATTTTCATCCCATGATTCTAAGGAACTGGGAGAGACACAGTTTACATTGTGGTCCCAAAAAAGAGCTAGAACTGTTTACTTTCAGAATTTTGTTTTTGTATTTCTCCTGGGAGCATCACTCACATCTTTTGTCCATGGTTTTTTTTAATATTGAGTACTGAACAGCGTTGGCAGAGATTTTTCCCGTTCTATATGTAGACTTCAGTTTTAAGATGGTGTCTTTTGAAAAAAGAATTTTTAATTTTTACAAAGCCCAATCTGGTTTTTTCACTTGTTTCTAGAAATCTTTGCTTACAAACAGAAGGGTGAGCGCACTCTCCTGTTGAGCTGGGATGTCCATGTTCACCTGCCCTCGATCAGGGAAAGTGATGCACCTGGGAATTACATTAGCAGATTACCAGGAATTTCCAGGCCTTTGGACTTTACCGGAATATAAAATGTTTGTTTTTTTTTTTTTTTTGGTTCTTCAGTTTGTAGATGTAAGATTGTGACACTTCTCAGCCTCCTATCTTGTGTGAGCCAATTCCTATTTTAAATGTCTTGGTAGTTCCATTATAGCATGACTATTGTCTATTGTATATATATATATATTTATATATTGTATAATGTTCATATACATTCCATATTTAAAAATGTTAACTTTGAGCTGTTAAAATGTTTAAAATATTTAAAAATGTTAACTTTTGCCTTCCCCTTCATTTTTGCTCTTGCAGTTTCTGACTGAATCTGAAAATACTGTCTCTAAGATGTGTTTACAGGACAGGAAACCTATTAATGGACTAAAATAATAATGCTTTTCAAAAGTTCCCCCCGGAAATGTCAGTATTTCTTACGAGTTTGTTGTGCTGCATTCAACTTTAGTTACAAATCAGAAGATTCTGTCTCTTCTCTCCTTGCCTCCCCACCCCGCCTCCACCCTCACAACCCTCACTTGTTTTTCCTTTTCCTGCTTACATTTTGGGACCAAGGGAGATCTAGGCATCTGTCCTTTAAATGATTGTAAATGCCTTATCTTTCCTTTTTTATTGGATCATCACGAAATAGAGCATTAAACAATTGCATGTGATTGCGTTTCAGTCTTTCAGTCTTTCCAACTTTCATCCCTTCACCAGTGTAATTTTCCAGCACCGATGTCCCCAGTTTCCTTCCCACCCCTTCAAGCCACCCCTACCCCAGCCTGCTCTCTCTCATTTTAGGCATTATGGTTTGTGATATAGATGCTGAAAGGTTATCATGTGTATTCCTTTAACCTGCTTTCAACACTCAGTTCTTGTCTAGAGGGATCATTTTCAATTAATATTGTCCTAATGGTTCCTCCTCTATCTTAACTACCCTCTATCTCCCATACCATAGACCAATTATTGACTGCTCCTGGCCCATTTTCCCTGACCTTAGATATTAGTTCCATACTGTTTTTTAATATATATATACATATATATATATGAATATGCCCCAAATGCAGTCATTCTGTATCTGTCCCTTTCCTTCTGACTCATTTCACTCAGCATGATACTCTCCATGTTCATCCATTTATAGGCAAATATCATGACTTCATTTTTCCTGATAGCTGTATAGTATTCCATTGTGCAGATGTTAGAGTTTCTTTGTCCATATGTCCGTTCTCAAATTCTCAGGTTGTTTCCAGATTCTGGCTATTGTGAATAGTGCTGCAATGAACACAGATGTGCAGATGGTGTTTTTGCTGTGTGTTTTTGGACTCCCAGGGTATATTCCCAGAAGTGATATTGTTAGGTCAAATGGAAGCTCAATTTTTAGTTTTTTGAGGAATATTCATATTGTTTTCCCAAAAAAGGTTGGATCATTTGGCATTCCCACCAGCATGAATAAGGGTCACTTTCTTCCTGCATCAATACCAGCTCTGGTTGTTCTTGTTCATTTGTATGTGTGCCAGTCTCTGTGATGTGAGATGATATCTTATTGTTGTTTTGATTTAATGCTTATCTCTTTTTCTGATTCTTTGGAAGCAGTCCCAACTTTTACACTTTGAATCAGAGATTCAAACTGAAATATTAATCTGTGTGAACATATTCTGTGTGTATCATATTCACACACACATTGCAATGAAGAGGCATCTCTGCAGAATGTAGGTGACCACCCCTACATACAGGGCTTCTCCACGATGAGACAGTGTGCCTGGTTTATTATACTTAGGGATAGGAAGGACAAACTTGAGGCTTTTCCTCTTCTTCTGTCCCCTTGAGTATAGTTGCTTTGTCTTACCAGAGAGCACTGAGGGTGAAGTAAATAGGCAAGGGATGTTATGGGCCACCTCTGGTGAGCAGTTGGAGAAGTGCTGCTGCATACACAGCTGCTGGGCTGTGATCACTCCGTCTGATCACTCCATCTCCAAGTAGAGCTACCCATGGGTTTCTAGGTCCTCAGATCTGAGAAGTGTACAATTATGATGCGTTGGCTGCCCAACTTGGGCTATCATCTCTGAAGCATTCTGACCTGTCCACTCCCTTCCCTTTACCGGGATTCTCTGACTGTGCTCCTTCATATCTAAGCACTCTAAGAAACAAATCTTATATTTACTTCTTCACAAGAACCCAACAGACTCAGCACTCATACTGCAGGCTACTTCCTCCATTCTGTACTGTGTATTGACCAAGCGGCTAGAAATCCAGCAGCTCTCTCTCGCCACCTGCATTCAGTGGTCTCCAGCCGCTCCCCTACCCAGACAGATGATGCCATGGGCAGATGAAGGAGGAAATGAGGGCCAGGCTGGTTGATAATATGTTGCCGTTTATTACATTCTCCCCAACACGCCTTTTCCAATCTCACTAAGTTCCACGATGCAGTCTCCCATTCCAGTCTCACACTGTCGCTCATTCCCATCTCCTCCTTGCTTGGCTCTCCATGCTCCCCACACTGCCTTTGTCTCTCTCTGTCTCTCCACCTCTCTCATCTCTCCTTGGTGGTAGCCACCACACCCAGGTCTGGTAGCACAATCAACATACGAAAGCCCTCCACTCCAGGGCAAATTACCACCTAGGGGTGTTTTCTCCTCTCCTTAGTCCATTGCATCTTAATTCTACTTTATAATATTAATTATTTTGTATGGACACATTAAAAAGATACATTAAGTTTGTAGGGTGACTTTCCTGGGGACATCTCACTATAAATCCCAGGGCCTTTCCTAACCCTAGCAGGGTCCTAATCTAATTGTTACTTTTTGGATCATGACAGAATTTGTCCCTCACCATGCTCTTAACTTATAGTTAAGTTTTATGGCACTTTGGCCTGGCCCATTTTGATGTCAGGGTAGCTCACAGCTTTCCTTGGGTACCTTCAGTTCCTTGTCAGGACCCTGATTTTGGGGTGCTAGGAAGTAAGGGCAGCTGAGGCTTAAGTAGAGAAAACAGATGCCTCGGAGTGAATATTATTCAGAGTCAATTAACTCCCAAGTTACAAAAGCATTAACTGTCTTCCTGTGTCTATACCAAAAGGACATTGGTCTGAATTAACTATGCAAAGGACATAATGTGAACAGAAAAGCAATATTTATAAGTTAACAGGGTCTGATTAGGAGATAAAGGTGATTGACCAGTTGGGGAAGCAGAGCACAAAAGAAAGAGGTTACAGATAAACACAGAGGAATGGGAATGCCCTGGGAGCACTGTGATGGGTGTAACCCAATGTAACCTAAGCTCCCTGTGGCAAGGCAGAAAGAACAAACCAATGTTATCCTACAGGTGCCGTTTAGCTTCAATTTGTTCAATATAGACAAATTCCAGATATCTTTTGTATAGCACTGTAGCACTGTCCTCCCATTGTTATCAATTTGCTCAAGTGGGCCCAGTAACGTCTCCATTGTGAGACTTGTTGTTACTGTGTTTGGCATATCGAATACCTCACAGGTAGCTTGTCAGGCTTTGCTGTGTGGGTGAGATACTCTCGGTAGCTTGCCAGGCTCTCCGAGAGGGGCGAAAAAATTGAACCCGGCTCGGACGGGCCGGCGGCTTGCAAGGCAAACACCCTACCACTGTGCTATCGTCCAGCACTTTGGTATAGATGGTATCTAATCTAAATAATACATTATTGTGATTCTTGTTTTTGGGTGCCACACATGCTTGGGGGCTATTTCTGGCTTTGTGTTTGGG